TTTCAGGTTCTGCTATCTTACTGTAGCATTTCCCCTGAACTAATCGCATATCCGCAAATTCGTGAAAGGAAATTCAAAGTAAGTCACAGTTTGACAAGGCCTATCCACCTATAACTATCTGTTAATGACAAAAAATATCATTGCCGCTGTGCCTTTTCATCAAAAAATTGTAGAAGAGAACTTTTTTGATAGTAAAAATTTTCGTAATTTGAAGCAATGATCGCAATTTTTCTTTTTGAATGCTTAAGGCTTCCAATATGCTACCAATTAAACATGGAACCATTTCAAAATAATGCTTAATAACAAAGTTGAAATTCGATCTTCAACTGTTAATATCTTCTAGAAATTTTCGAAAAAAAAATTGTCATTATTTTTCTCGTACTCCCCAAGGGAGATTTAAGGGGTGATAGAGGTATCGCCCCTTAAAAGGAATGACGCCAATTTTGAATCAACCTGTATAAGATAATATGCAGACAATAAAATCAACCTACCAAATCAACTCGAGTCAACTCTTTAATACACGAAAGACTTTCATACAAAATATTTAAACAATTGGTAAATTCTTAGTAGAGTCCAATAAAGCACTGAAAGAACGAACAACATTGAAAAATTAAGTTTTTTGCATTAAACTCGTTATTACGAATCGTACATGAAAGTGTTCATTTGATCTGATGTTATAGTTATCAAAAACGGTTCGTCTCTCCAAAGAAAATGCAGATATAATTATATATTGGTGGCTGTCTGTGTTCAATTTTGTAAATTAAAAGCAAAGTAAATGTTATAATCAACAATCACTTCAAAATACTCACAAATATTTTAATTTTGTAAGAGTACATACATACAAGTTGAGAAGATAGTGATTGCTTAACAAACACTTGTTCGACATATTCCTAACAAATTCCTACTAGGTGTCCAACCTTATCTGTTTTCAAATTTCTGAAGTACAAAGAAAAACCGATCCCTTTTTTTCGAATTTTTAATTGGTAATAGAGTTAAAAGCACAAAAAATCAACTAAAGAAGTTTCAATTACATTTTATCGCCCAAGATAATTTAAATGAATTTAAAAAAAATCGGTTAATTTTAAATTATATAAATTGTTAATGATAAAGACTATATTTTGGTGTGAAAGTTGCGACCAACAATCGCTAATAACCGTATTACTCAGGAGCCATCCCAATAAGCAAATTTACTAACAGCAAGAGCATTTCCTTACAGTAGATCTATAATAACCCGTATACTGATAACCAGAGTTTATATTAATTTTTCTTGAATTTTCATTCTCATCATTATACTCATCCACTGATATCAAAAAGCTTCCAGCTTTGGTATTGACATTTTTTGTGCAGAATCCGAATTAAATGTCAGGCTTATTCGCTTTAGAAACACGCTTCACGCCAAATGTGTTAAAAATTACTACATTATGGCCTATCTGTAAACCTATCTCAGCATACAGTAAGGCAAAAACGTAACATTTGCCATGACAGTACATCCCTCAAATTTATCTCCTACAAGTATTCGGATGCAGAAAGCCTATCAAAATCCGTCAAGAGCTTTTCGGAAATTCCCGATGGTTTACTCCTGGCATGACATAAAGCTAAACCGAGCCGGTGCCAATCAACAACGAGAAAAAGGAAGGAAATTGAAACCTTCTTAGCATGAGGTTGGGGTATACGAAAATATGAACTGTCAACATTTACATCGGCGACACAAGTTTATGTAAGACTCCCCGGAAAATCAATATCTGCGATTTATAGGATAGTTTCAGCTTACATAGCGGTGGTTTTTACTGACTGAATTTCTGATAGAATTTATCGTAGCTAAGTATATCGATAAGTGAAAAACTTACAGTTGAAGAGACAATTTAATAGAGGTCCTATTGATTAGTAAATAGATTTTTTGTGGGATACTCACCCTACGGTGTGAATTGATATGTTTCAGGAATAATTATTTGTCTCAAACGCTTGTTAGCCAATAAAATTGGGAGTATGTTGCTGAATTTGCAGCAATAAAAGTTAATTGAAATGTGTGCCTTAGACACAGAACTTCCAATAATTTGCTGTTAAATTATTGACGAAAAAAGTTGTTATTTTTTATTCTGAAATTGAAAATCTTTTGACTTTCGAACGAAATAAACATTTCGATTGTCCGCACAGGAAAACCAAAATATTATTTGGCTGGAACGATGTAACAACGAAACCTCAAATAAAAAAAATTATCAGGAAGACCCCCTTCTAAAATGACTAGGAGAACACGCTGTTTAAATATTTTAACATATTTACGGAACACCCTATATAACATTAAAAAAAATACATAATAATAAGACGATTTTTAGAATTCATAAGTCAATTATGTCAATTATACATATCTGTAATTATCACATTGGACATTAAAGATCAAAATGAAAACATTAAGTTTGAATACAATTTTATCAGAGGACAAATCGCAGTAATAAAATTCCTACAATTTATCAGACTTCCAACCACTCGCGCTGTTCCATATTGCAATGTTAAAAACAATCAATCAAAACACTTACCGTGAGAAGTGAGGACAACCTGCGTCACGTCGGTCCGTCACAGGATGAACAGCACGCTTTTTTGATGCCTGAAAAAAATTTACAGATCAAAAATCATACAAACTATCAGAACTAAAGAAATTTTCTCCATACACGACAAATTAATTATAAAACAATAGACGTATTTTTTATTCGATACAATGTTATGTACATGTTTCAGTCATCAGGGCCATTTTTTCCTGGTGTTTTTGGGCGACGGATTTAACCGACTCCCTTGTAGAAATATATTAATGACCGTAACGATTGATGTAAAATTAATTACTCTCGTCGGCCCCCCTGATAAATTGTGACACCTGGGACCCGAACAGGAAAGTGAAATTACGATACGATGACACAAAAAGTTAATTGAATATTTCCGATCTAATAACTCGACATTGGGCACATTTTTTCGCGGAACAGTCAATTTGTTAATTCAGTATTTGTATTTCCGCAGGAATTCTGATATTAGCCCGTAAACAAGCTGTACTAAATACATTATGATCCTACTACCAGCGTGAGTGGTTCATAAATAAAGTTATTGGATTTCACTTAGAGAGAACGAATTTTATTTTTTTTATTAAAAATATAGGAACGGCTTTTGAACATTTAATTCATATTTTTATTTTTCGTATTCAGTTCATCAAGTCGACCAAAATTTCAATCCAGATAAAGCCACTTGTCACAGCCAACATGTGCTGCATGCTTTTTCGAAATACATTCGTTACATTTTTAAATCCTAACTGTTCCAATTAGCGGCTCAATTTCTCAAAGGATTCCATAATCTACATTTAACTTAACACATGGTTACAATACAAATTATCTAGTAGCTTTCAAATAAAAAAACTTATTTTACAAACGGTATTTCTGCTTAATTTGCAAATGTTCTCTTGACGATTATCTTATTCTTCGTACTATAGTTGAAATATATTTTGAATTGAGCATTTGCTTTAAATAAGATATTGAAACGTATCGTGATGAAAAACGTCAAAAGATTAAAGATAATTTTTCAGTTATCAATAAAATATAAGTTAATATCGTGGGTAAAAGGTAAAACGGACCAAGTTTAAAATATACATTTTTGGTAAATGCACTTTTAAACCGAGCCAACAATTATATGAGAATCTTTTTGGAAACTTGGTCATTAAAAACAAATTTTAGTGCACCTGTTCGTGTGGTCTTGGGGGACTTCGCCAGTTTTTGAAGACAAATATATTATTTTTTAAATTACTTGGTGAACAAACACTAATAAAGCAATTTTGGACTTGGTCAATTTTAGCTTTAACCCACGATATAACACTTTAACTGATTAATTGGTTAATTATAATTCAAGTGTTTAAGTTGCTAGCTTGAACGACTAGCTGTTTAGATTAGAAACAGAAGGACCAAATGATCCTTTCCGTCGTCGCGAATGAAGTATTGGTCTAAATCCCAAAAGCAAACTGAAACCATCCCAGAGGAAACTAGACTATCTGATTTAGAACATTGTCCGAAGGTGTCCTGACTTGCATTAGCATTAGTTATTCACTGTCCTAGAATAACGGGTCCCTGGATAAAACCTTAGCGGATTTAACGGTTACTTAAGATGCTGTCTTGGAAGACCTTATCAGCATGTTATGCACTTTACTTGAAAGCAACAATTGGCAAAAAATCAAAAACCATGTCCCGCTAGTGACATCTGGTCGACTGAAAGTACCGAAAACGAGGAGTGGAAATCAGTATTTTTAAAACCATCAATGTATTTCTCAAACAGCTCAAGTTCAGCCTATAAGAAATTAGAAAAATTGCCTGAAAAAATTATTCAGTTATTTCCATGGTTTGCTGATTAATTCAAATGCGAACAATTAAACAATCAGATAATTCAAATACATTAGTTAAAACTAATTTTATTGCAGTTACTAAATGTTCACAAATAAGATACAGAGATACATCTAGGAGCTAAAAATGATTTTTAAAAAGCAAACACATCCAGAAGCTTATCAAAAGAAAAGATACACATTCAGTGCATGTGTAACAAATGATTATTTAAAAAAAATTCGGAGCAAATATGTTTAGTAATCGTAACCTGAAGTAATTCGTAAAAACTCCCTACATATTTTAAAACATTTCAATATGAAATAAAAGTTAAGCAGATTAGTGTTCAATCATGGAGCGTTTCCAGGCAAGTTCCTTCCCACTGATTCCCAAGTTTTAATCAGTTTTTTCTGCCAGCCACATATGAAAATATTTTCGACAATAATGTATAGCATAAATTGCATATGACACGCCTCCACTGTCTGCGCAACACATTAATCAAAATGGATAAAATAAATTTAATTTACAAAAAAATCAAATCGTCCGAATGAATGTAAAAATTGATAACGCTCGACTGCTACAATCATTCAGGTCTGCATGCATCAGTCACTGCCAACGAATCAAAAAAAAAACGTTGTCTTCAATACAAAACGCGATTGCTCAATAATCGTATGAAAAAAATGACTACTAATTTTACCACGATAAAAAAAAACAACAGAGCATGTCATTTTGATTCAGCGGTATCTATTTGGAAAAAAATAAAACATACACTTTGGCAACTTGATGATGAACAACCTATCATAATATACACATAAATCGTTTCTGCAGTCCCGAAGGAAGGTAATAGCGTAAAGTTTCATTATTTTATTTATTTACACTTCAAAAAGTTGCAAATATTTCCCAATCATTTTCTTCAATATATTTGCCTATTTCTATAAACAGAAAACATAATGTTTGTTATATTTATACTTCAAGTCTGACAGAAAGCTAATTTGACGCAATTTATTTTCTCCAATCAAACGAGATTTTTGTCATCAATGTATTTTGTTTATTCAATTTTCCTATATTCTAGAAACGTGACACACTGACAAGATCTGACTGACTAACAGTTGCGATCCTATCTAAATACAGAAAGATCACAACTGATATAAACTAAAAATTTTAAATAGTACTGGAATAAAAATACATTTAAGAAATGTTATATAAAATTATAAAATAATAGGTAAGAAATACGTAAATATCCCAGCGTCCATTCCAAACCAGTAAATTTGCGTCGCGGTTCTTTAAGCGAGCGTCACACTCTTCGAGAGGGCTTCACACTGTACCAAATGTACTTATGTATGATTCGTGAAATGCGAAGCAATGAATTACTTACTAAGTTTCAAAAATCAATAGAAGATGTGTAGAACTTCTAACAAATCGTGTATTCCTGCAGTCCTAAAGATTCATTAAGATAGAAATAAGAAAGAAAAAAAAGCAAAAACTGGCAGAAAAATTACAAATTTAAAGAGTTCACAACTACAGCTAGGTAAACAGTCAAAAAAATCGTTTTCAATAAACTATTTCTTTCAAAAAATTATCTTCTAGTGTTCCAGAAAATAGCATCCAATTCAGTACACCTGCCAATACCTATTGACGATGAAAAAAAATTGCAAAAACCCTGGAACTAACCAGAAATCTGGTATTGACACCCTTTGCTTGGGAGTTAAATCGAAGCGTGTGATTTATCGTAAGATCTTGCAAGAAATTTTACCAAATGCACATTTATAGGATTTGTCTCGCTTTCCGGCTGGAAATGAATATATACATATTGGTGATTGAAATATTGGTGGTAAACTGATTAAGACCTAATTTGTGGCTAAAGTTCAACGTTGAATTCAATCTGATAAACAATTTCTTTGAAGTTTAACAAAATATTTTAGCAGTTTTTAGTGCACTACTATTCAGTCAATTGAATCAAAAACAATTTTAATAAATTACAACAAACAACCCATAAATAAATGGGCCGTTTCAAATTATCACTCCTTAAAATTAACCGGATTGAAAACAGATTAGTGGAATTTCCAATATAAATTTCAATATTGACGTTGGGAGTTTCCGGGGTGTCGGGACAGTAGGACATGTTGCAGACATTGGAATTTAATGCTGCTGCTTTATTGAAAAGATATTGTTCCGTTCCTGAGTGCAAACTTTGGTTTGGAATGTGGCATGTCTAACATTTTAAATATTTACAAATTGATTTACATTCGCTTCTACAGACAAAAATACAGCTGAAAGTTCTTTAATAATCCACCATAGACGAGGTGCACTATTTGTAACAATGGCGCATACAATAGTTGACACGGAGAATGAAAATGGAAACAGCAAGAATGGTTTAGACAAGTTGATTTTGTGAGCATATAAAATCTGTCCAATTGCATGAACCGAACTTGGAAAGAGAAAATATTATTAAAAGCATAGCTTATATGCACATAAGCCGTAGATAATTTCCCAAAATATAACAGAGTTGCTGAAATTATTTAGCCAAAAAATGTACGAATGTTAGGTTCTCAAAACCTTACAGAATGCAATCGCCTGAAACCCCACAATACTGATTAACAACTAAAATTACTTTCATCCAAATGTGCATATTATTATAAAATTGAGATATTTACAATCATCAAATTTTGTTTTTTATTTGGTGCATACAGTCAGATGCTATTTGTAAATTAGTTTCGATTTATAAAATAGTGATTAATTTTAAGTTAATGCGAACATTTCAAAAAGTAGTTATTGCGAACGAATTAATTGACAGCCTATTGCAACAAAACACTTAGAAATACAGTTTTAAAACAAAAATGACGATCAGTTATGCAAAAGTTGACATTAATTATGATGTAAATCGATTTTGTTGAAGTTTGAAGTTTTTCCATTGTTTGGAAACTTAGTTTTGCATTTCAACTTCATGGGTCTGCCTCAGTGTTTATTCACGTGTTAAATTACCAATTTTTTTACTTTTATTCTGTGATCGATTATAATATTTCATCGAAGATATTTTTTAATGTATGCGAAATATTTCAATTTTGTTTTATAGAAACAGTTACGATGGCTTAATGAAGTAGTATATAAAACTAAAAAGCGATTTTTTTTAACATTTTACATAAACATTAAGGAGGAACTTTATCCAAGAACCCAAAAATATTGATATAAAATAATAATCGTTATAGTTCTAGATAAAATATTGTACGTAACACGTAGGATATTACATTATTAACGCGCT